GGATTTTGCACTGAATGAGGGAACCTGGCACAATATCAAAGAAAATGGTATTATCTTAAGTAAAATATGAAGGCTGGGAACAAACAAAATATCTATATTAGGAGAAATGTATAGATGTATTTTTAGGCAAACTCTTTTGTGAAGATCACAAACTGATCTTTGCAAACTAACTGCAGCCACAGTCCAACAAATGGCTGAGGATCCTTTGGTCTGGGGTCCAAATGCACCAGTCAAAGGGTTTCCTGCAGTCTTGGGAGCTTCTCATCCTTCATCCTGCCAAATCTGGTGTCTGTGCTTGCAGAAGATGGGAAAAAACTTATTTCACCCCCAGCCAGCACAGAAAACCAGTTCTCAGCAGCCATGGGGCCCAAAGAAGAGTTGTTTTGCCATGTGAGCCCCCGTGTCTACAGTCGGCACGGGGAACAACCCTCCTCTGTGCCACTGTGAAGGACTTTTCCCCCAGAGCAGAGTATGGGAACACAGCCCCAAATCAGAGGGCAACGGATGGATGCATGGATGGATGCTTGGATGGGGAGTGGTGCATATCAGTATGAGAGTGAACAGACAGTTGTGAGAGCTGTGGATGTGAGAAATGTGGGGTGGCCAGAACCACTGGATGACTGTGGACAACACCCATCATTCTCAAGCAGTCCCTGACTCGTAGTCCTGATAGAACATAATCCTCGCAGGTGTGAGGATTTCCCGTCCTGGACTAAGCCACATCTGCTGGCACAATATGCATAGAGAGCCACAGTGGGGGAGTGGCGAAGAGCGTGGGACTGGGACTCAGACGATCTGGGTTCTAGTCCCTGCTCAGCCATGGAGCCAACTGGGTGACTTTGGGCCAGTCACAGACTCTCAGCCCAACCTACCTCGCAGGGTTGTTGTTGTGGGGAGGAGATGGAGAGCAGGAAGAGGACAACAATGTCAGCCACTCTGAGTTCTTTAAAAAAGAAAAAGGTGGGATGGAAATCTAATAAATAAATAAATAAATAAATAAGAGCCTTGGGTGGTTAGTGTTAAGAGCATGGGACTGGGACTCAGGCAATCTGGGTTCTAGTCCCCGCTCAGCCATGGAGCCAACTGGGTGACTTTGGGCGAGTCACAGACTCTCAGCCCAACCTACCGCACAGGGTTGTTGTTGTGGGGAGAAGATGGAGGAGGAGAATGATGTAAGCTGCCTTGAGCCCTTTGTAGGAAAAAGGCAGGATATAAATCGGAAAAAAAAAAAAGATATTGAAGAAATTTGCAATGGAGTCACAGGAGTTCCGACTTCCCTGAATCTTTCCCGTGGATTCCATAGTGGGTCACCAAGTCACACAAATCCCCCAGCCTTGCAGATAATTTATTTTTCCTTTTCTGCTTCTCAGGTTTGCACAGATGCTAAAGCTCAGTGCTACGCATTAGCAAAAGCAGGGTGAAATTCTCGAACAGCCGTAAACACATGTAATTCCATTGTGTGCTGAAAGAACGAGATTCATATGTGCCCAGCTGTGGATGAGGCCTTCCTCTGCCCCCCGCCCCCCCTCAAAATATATGGTGGTCCGAGTGCTAGGGACATGTGATTTTTCTGCCACAGAAGCATTTCCTCTCGAGGCAATCGCCTAGATCCCCCCATTTCTGATTGCACACTCTAGTTTCCCTCCTCACCCCACCTCAAATGGCACAGTGTGCCTTTGGGCACACTTCAAATTGCACACCCAAAGGTGTACTGCAACCCGAGCTGAATGAAGCACGAGAAGGTGCATTGTACCAAAACGCACATGTTTAAAGTGCCTATTTCTCTCAAGTCCAAAGATTGCAAGCTCTGGAATGGATGAGCTTTGTCTATAAAATGTGATTGCATTGTGGCTGCAAATGCAGGAAGGCCTGATTTGGAAGGAACAGAAATGGAATTTTCATGCATCTCTACCTTGGGGGAGACAGTAGCTGGGATTGCACTGAAGTGGATGCAGCGTGTCTTCTCCTGTGCACATTGTGTCCTCCAGCTGGGCTCCATTGCGTGGCAGCGAAGGCCACCGTGAATGAGTTCGTAAGGCGCTGCAAGAGGATTGCGATTCTTCCTTTCAGACGCGTGCCTTTGGCCTTGCGCAGGGTTCAGCGGACACCCTCCCCTGCTTCTGAGCCGGCGGATCACCTTGGATGACCGTTAAAGTAATTTCCTTAGCTGGGGATTACATGCAAGGCCATCTTTAGGGAGGGCCAGTAGAAGCAGCGAGCCCTTCCTAACACCTTCAATCCCATTGCATTCGTAGGAGCGGCTTTTGTCCTTGAGTAGCTAAGCCCGGCTGGCAAAGGAGTCCACCCACTCTTATGGGATTCGGCTGTCCTTAGCTGTGAGATAGATACTTCAGGCTGTCACAAGGAAATAGGTCTTGAGAAACGCTTGAGGTTCCCCCAGGCGAGAAGCCCAGAAGGTCCACTGGTGACTCAGCCAGAAGGGACCAGGGTGGGTCTCTGTTGTGAAGCCACACTGATGCGAGAACTGAATGCAGAGTTCTACACCCAGAATGAGTGTCAGGAGGAGGAGGAGGGTCGGCCTTGATGGGAGACTAACCTAGTCGAGGAAGCTGTTCCAGTTAAGCCTGTGCAGTTCAGCAAAACTTGAGCATGTTGACCATCCTTGAATTCCACCTCGGAGCTCTTCCTGACTCTTGCCCGCATCAGATTTCAAGCTTTGTGTTTGTTTGTTTGTTTGTTTGTTTGTTTGTTTGGGTCTTTCCCTCACTTTCTCCAAATGTACACATCAGTTGTGTTTGTTTTTAAAATGCCTACATTTCTGCCCACTGACCAAAGCATGTTTGTGTCATTTTTCCAATGTACACATCCTTTCATGTGCATTTTTGAAAGCTCTGCCTTTTTCAAACTCATATTGCTTCTTTCACCAATCAAAGCTTGAAAATGTATAGATGTTGGCTGTAGATTTGGATCTTTGTTTGGGTCTGTATTCAGTTCTGGGAGGTGAAAACTGGATCGGTTCTGGTTAAAAATAATTAAAACGTGTTGTTCATACATCCGTAATTCCAAAAAGAAATGTGATACCCCTTTCTGGCACATGATTTGCGGTGGTCTGTGAATGGGTTTCCATGTGAGGTACTGAAACTGAACTTCCTGCTTCACCAAGGATGCTCAGATCACACTTTTGAAGTCCTTCCTGCATCTAATTTCCACCAAAGCTCTTCTGCAGCTCAAGAATGCAGTTGTAGAATCATGTGATCAGATGTGTCTCCATATTGAAATCATTGCATGCAGCCGCTTCTTAGATATCAAGCTGGTCCTTTCTGGTTTTGTGGACCCTGCTTGTAGAGCCTTGTGGTCCAGAAGATTTAATTGTTCTTCTGAACCAAAGGTGAATATACAGGCAACAAGAAACAACACAATGAGCGATCCCATTGGCAGGGGAAATTCAAACCCGACTGCCCATTGTTCCTCTCATATCACTAGACTCCTATGCTCAGCCTCTGGGGCCTTCCTCCAAGTGCCAACCCTTTGAGAGCTTTGAGAGTGGCAAGGAGTGGGGGGGGGCTTCTGTGGTGGCCCCCATCTTTGGCACAGCCTCCCTACTGTGGGCTGCCTGGCACCCAAATGACCATCTTTTCCGTGCCAGGTGAAGACAGCCTTCGATCTGGAGGACTTTAAAGTTCTTCCTGGTTACCCAGTGGCCTGAGGCAGACTGATTCTTCATGGGTTGTTCTTTATTGTAATTGTATCGTATTTTAAAGCTATTTAAAATTAATTTCAAGTCCTTTAACAGTGTTGTTTTAGGTTAGCTGCATTGCATTTGTTTTGTTTTACACCTTGTTGCAAACTACCCAGAGAGTCTTGGCAAAGGAATAGTAGAGAAATTAAATGATTAATAGAAATAATAAATCATAGATGGCAGTTAAAAGCAGAAAATCAGAGATAAAGCTCTACCAAAATACATGCAGGAATTAATAAAGCACAGAAACAAAACCCTTTGCAGAAACTCTGCATCCCATCTACTCACAAATCCCGATGCATCCCCATCGTCTTTGAAGACTGTTTCCCTTCCCTAAGATAAATGGCACATTTGATGGATTGAGGGGGGAGATGGACTGTTCATTTTGGCAGCGGGAAGCTCACATCTCAGGCCTGTCACAGCTGGTTCCAACTTTAGGTAATACTTCGCTCAGTCAGACCCTCCTCCTCTGCAGGGCCAGACACAGGCCACCTGGTCCGGGATGCTGTGGTTTGGGACTCACAACAGCCACTGCAGGTGTCGTGTGCCGATGGATGCTGTGCAAATCCACAATGGATTTCCACAAATTTGACCCACAGATTCCACAGCAGACTGACTTTTCCCAACTCACTGGATTCTTTGAGCTTAGAAACTAGGAGTTATAAACGTGTGTGTGTGTGTGTGTGTTGTAGGATGTTACACAAATGTGGTCCTAGAGAAAATATGAATAAGATGAGGAGGAGGAGGAGGAGGAGGAGGAGGAGCATGAACACATAGATGGGGCGTGGGGTGTTCAAGGCTGCTTGATTCTACAGGGACTCCTCAGGGATGACCAGCTGTGGTTTCCCCTCCTGCCACTGCTCAAGTAGCAGCCAGGGGGTGCCACTTCCCTGCCCTCCCTGGCTCTGGTGGCCAGGGAGTGAGGGCACAGGCCAGTGCATGAGGGGACAGAAGATTGTCCTGCAATGCCTGACCAGCCTGTGCCGAGATCTTTTGGACATGTTTCTGCCCGAATGCGCACTGAGGTCGTCTCCTGAACCTCTCCCTCAAGCACACGGGAAGGCGACTGTGAAGTCTATGAAACAGGAATCAAAGAAGGAATTGTGCCTTAGCTCTTGAAGGAAACGGGTGACTTTTGGTAATGGTTTGAAGGAAATGGTGCGGAAAGGAAGACTGTTTGGTGGCCAGCGGGGCGATAGTAGGAAGGGGTGGAGGGGCCTTGAGTCCAGTGTTCTGATGCAAGGGATCTGCTACAAATGATGATAAAAATGCCTCTTTCTTTCTGGTTTGCTCTGTTTAGGCCTGCCTGCCTTGGTGGTAGCCATCTCTGTGGGATTCACTAAAGCCAAGGGGTACAGCACCGCAAACTAGTGAGTAAACGCTTGCATTCTTGGACAACTCCAGGCACTCATGGACGAAACTGATTATCTGGGCCCATTTCATTCTGATTTCAGACACAGTTACAGTACTGAATCTGCCTTGGTCACAGGGAGAGGGGCAGGGGGAGTGTGTTCCTGTTGGTTCTCCTAGACCCCTCAGCGGCTTTCGATACCATCGACCGTGGTGTCCTCCTGGAGAGGCTGGCCATTTTGGGAATAGGGGGCACTGCTCGGCAGTGGATCCACTCCTACCTTGCCGGCCGATTCCAGAAGGTGGTGCTGGGGGACTGTGGCTCTGTGCCATGGCAACTCCGCCGTGGAGTTCCGCAGGGTTCCATTTTGTCCCCCTTGCTATTCAACATCTACATGAAACCGCTGGAGGAGGTTTGGGCTGTGGAGTCATCAGAATGCTGATGACACCCAGCTCTACCTCTCCTTTTCAACTGATCCAGGCGAAGCAGTGGCTGTGCTGAACCGATGCCTGGACGAGGTGATGGGCTGGATGAGGGCCAATAAACTGAGCCTCAATCCAGACAAGACAGAGGTCCTGTTGGTGGGTGGTTCGAGCTCCTGGGTAGGTGCCTTGGGCCTTGCCCTGGACAGGGTTGCACTTCCTCTAAAGGACAGGGTCCGCTGCTTGGGAGTGCTCCTTGACCCAGAGCTGTCCCTGGAGGCCCAAGTGGCAGCGGTGGCGAGGAGCACTTTCCTTCAGCTTCGGCTGATCCATCAGCTGCATCCTTACCTGGATGAGCACTGCCTAGCAACAGTGACCCATGATCTGGTAACCTCCCAGTTGGACTATTGTAACACGCTCTACATGGGGTTGCCCTTGAAGATGGTCTAGATACTTCAATTGGTTCAGAACAGAGCTGCCAGATTGCTGTGGTGGGCCGGTCATTACTCTCATATAACACCGGTCCTCTATCAGCTTCACTGGCTTCCGATTGAAGCCCAGGTCCAATTTAAGGTGCTGGTATTGACCGATAAAGCCCTAAATGGCTTGGGACTGGGATACCTGAAGGAACATCTTTTTTCCTAGATGCCCTCCCGCCCCTTAAGATCTGCAGCAGAGGCCCTGCTCAGGGAACACTCCTTGAAGGAGGTTCGGAGAGAACATACTCGGAGGAGGGCTTTCTCTGTGGTGACACCCTGCCTATGGAATGCACTCCCTAGGGAGGTCCACCTGGTGGCAATGTTATATGCTTTTTGGTGCCAGGTCAAGACCTTTTAATTTTTCCATAATTTTAATGTTTAATATCTTTAACTATGTTTTATGCTCAGTCTGAATTATTCTATATTATTTGGTTTATATGCATTTATTGGGTTTTGACTTCTTAGCCGTCCAGAGATCTGCAATGTATTGGATGGGGTAAAAAATACCCAGATAAAAATAAATAAATTCTTGTTCGCTCACTAGTTTCCTTTCCTAATATTGGCAGCACCTTAGATTGGAAAGCACGAATTCCCCCAGAAGCATCTCCAGAGATGGTAGCAAAGCTGGTTGTGCTTGAGCCAGGATACATGCTGGGGAGCCCCACAATTTCAACCCGCCCCCCACCCAATTTCTCCCTTGCCTCAGATTAAATTCCCCTTTGAAGAAGTCTCTCCTAGCCCTACCTGTTGGTTTGGCCTAGGCAGGCTGAGCTTCGCTGAGACCTCTCTCGCTCATCCAACGAGTCAAAGGTAGACATGACTTGCTCAGCCTTGTGCACTTAGATACAGCCTTGCAGTCCCTGGCTGCCTTTGACAGATGTAACTCTGAAAAATGTTGATGCGGGAGAAAGAGATGAAGGTTTCCCTTCACTGACAGTTTTCTAGGTCCAGCCTGGTTCCTTCAGATACGTTTCAGGGACAGGATTGGTCTGGCTTTGCAAAGCTGTGATTTAATGATCCTAGATCTGATAGAATAATAAAATAGTAGAGAAGGGAACAATAGAAACCTAGAAACAGAGTGAGTCAAAAAGGGTCTTTGGGTCATCTAGTCTGACCCCCAGCTCCAGCCAGCTCTGCTCACAACATGCCCACCATGTGCATGTCCAGCCTGTCCTTGGACACCCTCACCGATGGGGCTTCAACCACCTCCCAGGGAAGTCCTTGGAGTCCTAACTGTCAGGAAGTGCTTCCTGGCATCCAAATGGAACCTGGGTTCCCTGAGCTTGGCTCTGTTGGAGCGCATCCTGCCTTCCTCTGCAGGGAGAACAGGTCTCTACCCACCTCTGTGTGTGGCACAGTAAGTCCACTGGGGCCAACCCCCTGCGCACTGCAGGATCCCAAGTCACAGCAGCTCTAACAGATGCTACCCAATGGCCTCCAGTGTGGGCTACTCATGCAGGTAATCGGCTCCATTGTATTGCCCTTGTAGTCAGGAAGCTTTCCCTGATGTCCAGCCTGTAACTTCCAAGTGACCCCCAGTGTCCAAACGGAAGGCTATTGCACTTCCCTCTCTCTCTAGATGGTACAAAACGGCCATGCCTTGCCAATGCCTCTGGATTCTTGTAAGTCCCTGAATTTGGATGCTTGGGAACATCTGCTCTGGGGAAGATTGGGCTCTGCTCCAAGATGAGCAGAAGAACTCCAGGCCACAACAAAGAGACCGCCTTGAATTCAACCCCCCACCCCCACCCCTTGTTAACAACTAGCTGCGGCCTTCATGCCAATTCGCAGCAGCAAACACAAAAGCTTGTCAGGATACAAACACTGAATTAAAATAGAATGCAAACTCAGATCCATGAAAACACAAGGAAAAGCACAACAGTAAAAGGAGTAGGCAGCATTCTTGCACATTCCTTCCAGACCGCCCCCCCCAAGAAATCCCAAGGCTGGAATTCGGAAATCCGTTGCATGTTCACCCCCATCAGACCCTTCAAGCACCCCCAGGAAACACACACTTCTGAAAAAATTGATCCAAATTTGCATGTCATTCAGTCAAATGAACTGGAGGGGTAGAGTCACAAATGAAAAGGGGAGCCAGCAGAAGTGAGATTTGACATAGGGATGCTGGAGAAATCTGCAACAGATTCAGATGAGATTGGATTTCTATGAGTATTTCCCATGGATTACACAGAGCACTGGATTTTTGGGAGCCACGTGAATTCCATGGATGGGTGGACCTGTGTTCCTTCTTTCTGGAATGTTGTTCACATGTGGTCATAGAAAAGCATGATCTTTAAAGAAAACCTGACAGAAAATGCGCATTTCCCTTACATAGGTTAAACCGTGAAAATATGCATGGGGTGGAATGTGGACATTTTCAGAAGTGTGAATTTGCACAACTGCAGATGCCCAGGTTTTTGGGAGTGGAGGGTGGAACATAAGCTGCACTGTTGTTGTTGTTGTTAGCCGCAAAGTCACGTCTGACCCATCACGACCCCATGGACTCCTCCAGGCCCTCCTGTCCTCCACCATCCCCTGGGGCCCACCTAAGCTCACACTGACTGCTTCAGTGACTCCATCTAGCCACCTCATCCTCTGTCGTCCCCTCCTTCTTTTGCTGTTAATTGTTTTCAGCATTAGGGTCTTCTCCAGGAAGTACATATGTTGACAATTTGATCTCTGGTTCTTCTGCCTCTTCGAAACCCTGCCTGTACTTCTGGTAGTTCTCGGTCCGCATACTGCTGGAGCCTGGCTTGTAGGATTTTGAGCATCACTTTGCTAGCATGTGGAATGAGTGCAATGGTGCGGTAGTTTGAACATTCTTTGGCATTGCCCTTCTTTGGGATGGGAATGTAAACTGGCCTTTTCCAATCCTGTGGCCACTGCTGAGTTTTCCAAATTTGCTGGCATATTGAGTGTAGCACTTTTACTGCATCGTCTTTTAGGATTTTGAATAGCTCAGCTGGAATACTGTCGCCTCCACTAGCTTTGTTGTTGCTCAGGCTTCCTAAGGCGCTTTTGACTTCACATTCCAGGATGTCTGTCTCGAGGTCAGTGACCACCCCATCGTGCTTATCAGGGATGTTAAGTTCTTTCTTGTATAGTACCTTTGTGTAATCTTGCCACCTCTTCTTAATCTCTTCTGCCTCTGTTAGGTCCCTGCCATTATTTATTTATTTATTTATTTATTTATAAAATTTGTATGCCATCCAATTACTTGCGTCTCCGGATGGCTTACAACATAAATAAATTGACCATTTCCACTGGCTGCAAAATAAAATGCAACAGTAAAATTCAATATTAAAACATATTAAAATATTGATTAAATAAAAAGGTCTTGACCTGGCGCCGAAAAACATATAATGACAGCGCCAGGCAGACCTCTCTGGGGAGTCCATTCCATAGTCGGGGCATTCCATTTTGGTCCTTTATCATGCCCATCTTTGCATGAAACGTTTCCTTCATATTTCCAATTTTCTTGAAGAGATCTCTGGTCCTCCCTGTTCTATTGTTTTCTTCTATTTCTTTGCACTGCTCATTTAAGAAGGCATTCTTATCTCTTCTAGCTATTCTCTGGAATTCTGCGTTCACTTGGGTGTGTCTTTCTCTTTCTCCCTTGCCTTTGCTTCCCTTCCTTCCTCAGCTATTTGTAAAGCTTCCTCAGACAGCCATTTTGCTTTCTTGCATTTCTTTTTCTTTGGGATGGCTTTAGTTGCTACCTCTTGTGCAATGTTGCGAACCTCCATCCATAGTTCTTCAGGCACTCTGTCTATCAGATCTAATTCCTTAAATCTATTTGTCCCCTCTACTGCATATTCATCAGGAATATGATTTAGGTGGCAACAGGCAAAATGAAGAGGCTGCAGATGCAGCACAATTTGTGTATCCCTACTTCGAAGTGAAGTGCAGTGCGTTTCAGTGAGCCGGCGCATCCCTGATTCTTCCATTCCAGCTCAGAGCTCCAACCAAGGGCAAGTAAGCCCGCTTGGCTTTCACCCTCCAAATATGCAGCCTCACAAGGGGAGTCCCTGCCATCTATTCAGCGCCATCTAAGGGCTGTGTGGCTCTCTGCACAATTCAGAAATCACACGTACCATTCAGACTTCTTTTTCCTCAGAGCCCCATTTAACAAAAGCACCCCTTAAAATGTCCAATTGAAAAATGATCAATTCTGTAGCTGTTGCACATTTCAGATCCCCTTTTCAGGGACAGAATGCTGTTTCTAAAAGTCTGCATTCCTAGCAAAGCTTACGGCAGAGTCCAGGTGCTCTCAGGGGCATGGAATTGGGCTCTCGCTAGGCAAGGAGACTGTTTCCTTTTTCCTTCTGTGAGTTTTGGTCTCAATGGATGGAGAAATGGCTTAGGGGTTGTTTAGGGCCCCTGTTGTTGTTGTTGTTCTTGCTAGTTGCAAAGTCGTGTCCAACCCTTCATGACCCAGTCCTGTGCGAAGCTGGCTGGGGAATGCTGGGGGTTGGAGGACTTTTTCTGTCTAGACATGCATAGGGTCACCCCTTAATATATTAAAAGAGGGGGCCTAGTTGGGACCTCAAAGGCCCCAGAGCAAAGTGACAGGAGGTAGCGGACGGGGCTATACCATGTAGACTAGGACTGGACTAAAACAGCCCTCTAGCCTACTCGTTGCAGTCCTGCTTGCAGCGAATGAAAGAGTGCATGGGGATTTTGAAGATAGGGTTCCTCTTAAGGGGTACAGATGCGGAGCGGAGTTGTCATGCTGAAGCTCTGGGCCAGTCCCTAGATTCATAGACATGCAAATTTCAGTTATTGCAAACATGTGCACAAAATTCAGAAAGGTGCAGATTTCAAAGGATAACTGAGTTTTAGTGTGCATATTTCTCCCCCATCCTTATCCCTCACTAGAGGTTTTCTGCCAGGGATCTAAAATTGTTCCCAATTAGAAAGCCGCACCAGCCAGTGATTGCCTTCTAAGCTTTCATGCTCCTTGGTCTTTGCTAGCTATATGGTTGTAGCTACGTGCCATTAAGGCATCTCCGACTTATGGCAGCCCTGTGAATGGACATCCCCCAAAATGTGCTGCTCATGACAGCTCCATCCAGCTCTTCCAAGCCTCAAGTTGCGCCTTGCTCTATGCATTCAATCCATTCATTTTACCTGTTAAATTATGACCCATTTTCGATAATTGTGTGTAATTTGCAATTTGCTTCTTCTTGTGCATTTTGGTGAGGTAGTTTTAATGTCTTGATTTTAACTTGCTGCTGTTATACATAAAGGTAATAGCGATGTGAAAAAACAGGTACCGAGCACTTTTAGAAGAAAGGAAGGATAATATGAACGTATAAATAAAGTCAAGTGGAAAAGAGAAAACCCAAATGCAATTTGGTTAATCTGTCAAAGCTGAAGTTATTTAAACTGATCCATAACTCTGAATGCCATTTTCTCATTAAGAATAGCACTACCATTTTAAAATAAATGAATACGGAGTTGGCGCTTGCCATCACATTGAATGGTCAGAACATGGGACAGATGAAGATCAGTTTCTTGGTGAACCTAGGAAGGCCCCACCCTGGCCTATAGCTCCTTCGTCCGTATGGCAATGCAGTGAAGGGGGAAGCAGCACGTCCAGCCCACAGACACCGTCGTCTCTTCCTGGGGTCTCACATCTGGAGCCCCACAGGACTATACTCCCTTCCCTAGCCACTGTTTTTCAGTTTTTATGCCTTTTCCCTGTTCTAAAAGGGCGAAATGCCTCTCCTGAGAATCAGTTACTGATGGAAAGAGTTTCTCCCAGGTAAAATTTAGCCTTCGGGTAACAGGTTAAAAGAAATCCAACACTGCTAGGCTAAAGAGTTATACCAAACACCTACAGAAAAGGGATCCCTTCTTGGGTACATTCTCTCTCTCTCTCTCCCCCTCCCACTCTCTCTCTCTCACACACACACCTGTCTATTTTTTTCTTTGAATAAGTTTTATTCTAAATAAACCTAACGCAAAAAAAATTAAGTAAAAACAACATCAATCATCGGAAACATTGGACCTACTGGGTCAGCCCCCCACATTATTTCTTTTTATGTTAGATTATAAACATATTTCAATCTATGCAAAGCCCTACACCTATTGATATCACATGCACCTTGCGCAAACGAGAGGAAGATTTGAGTTGTAGGGGAACAAAACACCACTTTCTCAGCCCCAAAGTTCATAATATATTCACTTTTTTAACCAGCATTTACTTAATTTACATCTCTGAACATAGGACCCCGATGGCCTTTGCAGTCACTGTGCACATGTCGGATCTTGCAATACAATTTGTGCAGTGAGCGCAACTCTGTGTTCCTTTGAAAAATGCAAAGAAATTGTTTTTAATCAAAGGGGGAAATGCACATATTTCAAAAAGGTGCATTTGGAAACATGGTATTTAATTGTATAATCATCTCCTTGGCACTGTGCAGCCACCCTGGCTTCCTGCACTGAAGCCCAATATAAAGAAAATGACATTAGTTAAGTTCCCCCATGGAGTTTTCCATATCAGGAAGCAGATATCAGGCAGGCTGAAATGAGTAATAAAAACTGGAGCAACACACCCAGCACAGCTGCCTTGCAGTGGTAAAATAAGCTGAAAAGCAGCAGTAAAGTCCTCCTCAGAAAGTCTGGAGCACCCAGGAAATGAGGCGGAAAAGGGAAGCCTCAAAATAGAAAACTCTTGTGAAACTAGATGCCTTTCAACATAGCACAAGACTTTGTTTGCCGGGTTTGAAAAATGAAATCCATTATTCCATTGCTCTTGCTCTCCATGGGAGATGCCCCCTCCTGTTGGGATCACTCTGCATTTGTTTTGCATATGTAAGAGACGTGCTGTTTAAGAGTTATTTATCCTAACAGCTGCTCTCTCCCTCCTTCTTTCCAGCTGTTGGCTGTCGTTGGAAGGAGGCCTGCTTTATGCCTTCGTGGGACCTGCAGCCGCCGTTGTTTTGGTATTTGAACCCACTTCCAAGCATTCCCTTTTTCCGTATGTAATTCCCCCGTGCCTCCAATTCACCCAGAGTCCATTGTTTAAAAATAGGCACTCTAGCTTCAAGAGGAAATAACCCCAGAGGAAAGCAAAAGTGGCTAAGATAAGGGTGTTTTCTGAAGGAACTTTATTCTGGATTAACCAAGCATGCAAATGCCATTTTGATGGGTGAATTTAAATAAAGGCATTTCTAAAAAGGACAGGATTTCCTTCATGTAGGAGAAACAAAGGCATGACATTAGCCGAGTTAAAATGATCCTGTGGGCATCGTCATCATTAGTATATTAGACATTTGCAGACAAAATATATTTAATAACGTAATGTCTGAAATGTTTTGAGAGCAGAAGTTTCCTCCAAGAGCCCCAGCATCATCTGCCCTTCTCCTGCAGGCCGGTGCCGCCAGATGTTTTGGCCTACAATTCCCATAATTTCGAGCCATTAGCCCTGTGGGTAGAGGCTGAAGGGGCTTGAAGTCCAGAGCATCAGGTTAGGGAAGGGTGCTGAACACGAAGTGCCAGTTCCACATTTGAGAGGTCTCGTGGACAAGACCTCTTCGGTGGACACCCTGCCCAGCACATCCACTGTCTCATGTGTGCACAATCCAAGGGGAAGGGCATCAAAATCAGATTGGTTTTCACAATTTGTCCCCCTAGGGTATGATTTGTTGACCCTGCGCTGGCACCAGCTTGGTGCCAGGAGGACAAGCCAAATGATGGACTTCTGTCTCCAGGATGGGCTTCCATTGCTGCATTTTAGCATGAAGGAAAACTTGTACAGTGCATGCTGCGTTGTGCTCTTTGTGCAAACTGGAAGCTGGAAACTGACATTCTGGTGCAGTTGGCACAAAAGTCTTTGCGTTTCAAACAATGCACAAGCTGCAGCCCATCTTACAGGCGCAAGGATGCAAACCCAGCCCCCAACTCACCCCTGCTCAGAAAGCATCAGGATGTGCCTCAAGCTCCCGGGATCAGTGCATCCCTGCGCCTTCCTAATCCTTTCTCCACCATTGGCTTGCTTGCCGGGCGAAGAGGCAGGGAGAATGCAGGGAGTGGCTTCCATTCCTCCTTCAGGCTGACACCACCACTGCTCCATGGTCCAGGTGAGAGGACCATGAAGAAGGAGGTTGCTGGAATGAACTCCAAGAGAAGGATCAAGGGATTCCAGCCAGGGTGTGTGGGGCCTTTCCAGGAGCCCAGCCACGTCAGGTCTTGATGGGCCCTGGGATGGACCTCTGTGTTGTAGCAACACCCCAGGAATGGTATGTCCTTTTGCGAAAGGAACCGGTTGTCCACCTCTGATGGAAACCAGTCTGCCAAGGCTCCTTTCCCCTCTTCCCTGCTGTGTCTAAGTAAACACAGCACAATGCAAGGTGCAGAATCAGGGATCCGGATGCAGCTGAAGGCCATCTAGTCCCACATCCTGCTTCATGCAGGGATTCCAGGAATCCAACCAAGAGGTCTTCATACTTTTCTGAAAGATCACCGAGAGGTAGAACCAGCTCCTCCACCACAAGGAAATTGCAATGAGAAAAACCATGCCAGCCCTACTTTTGAGGGGACTTTGGGGCAAGACAGCTTCCCCTGCATAGTAAAGTTGGTCAGTGAAGCACAGAAATGTGTCCTTGCAGCCATTCCATGTAATCTGCTGTGCTTGCATACATTTAGCAGAAGTAAAAGCGATGAATGACCAGTAGTTCTGGGCCTGTTGGGTATTTCAGAGTAGCTAAAATGTCACTTTTGGGAAGTGGGGCATAATCTACCCTGTGTCTTCTCAACTGATGTGATTGAATCTTGCTGGTTTTGAAAGGGAAACATTCTATTTCCTTTTTTCTTTTCTTTCTTTTCTTTTTAACTGTCCGCTTCAAGTCCTATTATATCACCCAGCCAACCTTTCAAATAATAGAGGGGTTGGAGAAACTCCTCTGTAAAGAAGGGCAGAAGCACTTGGAGCTTTTAATTCTAGCAAAAAGCCAATCAGAGGAGGCCCAAGAGGCTCTGTTAACATTCTGAGAAGAGTTTCTACCCCAGTTCCTCTCGAATTTGGGCTTATCCAAACAAATT